CACACGTCGAGCTGCAGCGTCGGAACCATCACAAGAGCCGCTGCAAGGCGCCATCACAACACCCGTGCGGTGAAGCATCCCACTCGCACCGCCCAACTGCGGCCAGCAGGTGCCGCTGGCTCCAAAGTACACTCGCGACTGTTCCGTCCCGCAGTCCCAATGGCGTTGGGCGTGGCGCTCGCACGGCGGGGTGCTCGGTGCGCCACGCAGCCGCACTGCAACGCCTGTCGGTGAAGCAGCCGAGGCCCACCGCCCCCGAAGCAACACGAGGCGTGCAACCAACACCAACACCGCCACACTATCGCCCTTTTTCATTTTGTTTTATCCACGTTGTCTGTCGGTTTGCCCCATCACCGACACAAAAAATAAGTGCACACCTTCACAAAAGGGAAGGAACAAAGAGAAAAGGAGGCACGATCCCACCGTCCCGCCGAGGGTCAACACTCCCCTCCACCCACCACCATTGCAGCATAGGAGACCGCACTCACATCGCAGAGTCAGCACCACAATGTGCACCACACCATCGTGCACCGAACAATGGGCGAGACGCGGCCAGGCATCGTCCCGCTCCATTTTCCCACCCATCATTTTTTGCGTGCCCGCAAAAAGTGGCAAACAGAGCCAGAGTGCACACAAACCCAATCAACACCCTCACTCGATGAAGCACATTATTCGCATGGAGTGACAACATCTGGGGACACACCAGCAGTAGCTGGCTGCATGGAATTTCCCTGCCAACCCCGCAAAGAGACACAACAACTCTGCGGAGTCAAAGTGGCAGCCCCGCGGTGTTGTCCGCAGTTCACATGGCAGGAAGAATTCCACGCACGCATATTTCCGGACACCTCGCTGTCTGAGTGCCCAACAGAACATGTAAAGAAAATACCTGCGCGCAAGATGGAATTAAATACGTGAAAAGGTCGGCCTGCTTTCTCCGATGGCGTTGGCAAGCAGTCCCACACAATCCAATCAGGGTGGCACGCCGGACAGAATGGCGTCCGTCAATCAATAAAAAAATACGACACTGAAAGGGAGCAGAGAAGAGGTGGCGCATGCGATTGCCAGTGACAACTGTGAGCAAACCCGCCAGCACCAACTGAGGTGCCTAGGAGCACGTTTGTGTAGAACTGGCCGTCAGGCAGAGAGGACAAATAAAACAAAAGGGCAGCAAACCTCTCGTTCAATGTCTCCTGACCGCGACACCAGAATCAAAATACCATGGACGATAAGAGCGGCAACGCCTTCTCCAAAACATCTTGTCAAGAGGCCGCAGGACCTCAGGAAGGAAAGAAGGCAGCGGCGGCAGCCACAGCGGGGGAGGCAATAAAACGGCTGGCAGGCACCTTCACGTCGACGCGCACACCACATCCGAGTGGACTGGGAGCACTGATCGAACCGCTCGGAACACACG